ATGATGACAAATAGAATGCCATTATACAGGGCACGAAGCTGAGCATCGAGGCTGAGAACATGACGAATATGGCGTGCAGCAGGGGGGTTGCGAATCGTCTTCCTTGGAATTTACCGGAGCGGGGTGGGTCGGCGAGCAGGGGGCTGGGATCAGCGATGAGGGCGACATTGCACAGGCTATCGTTCCTCACAACTTGGAGATAGAGAGCGCCATTATCGCACGCAATGCACCCAACCACTCCGAGGAGCTGTCTTCACGACCCTGGTGCTGGTTGCATCAATCATCTGTGGCAATTGCTTTGTAGAGCAACAGTTTGCGTGCTGTGAGGGAACTCTGGACAAGCTCGGAAGCCCAAGGGACACGGATTCTGTTTGGGAACTGGCGCTAGAGTTGGAGTCAGAAGAACAGGCCGCGACACAAATGAACTGCGAGCGACTGGCACTGCAACCCGTCTAGCGACCACGATCTGGATATGCTGCGAAGTGGGCTGGCAACGGGACATACGAGAAATATGGTTGTTAAAAACCCTCGCTAAAGCGCGAGGTGAGCAATGGAAGAAGAATGATTTCGTAGCGCCATGGATTGCAGCGCCCGCGCGTTGAGAATGACTATATCTTCGCGGTTGGAGAGATTTTTTGAGGGAGGCATAGTGACCAATACTTATGCTAAATGGCATGCCCGGGTGTGACTGCAGATCATGATGCTGAGCAACATGCGGCCATAGTTATGGGAATGTGGCCCTTCCCATAAACGGGGTGTTTTGCACACTTTTTCAGCTTGTCAGCCAGGATGGAACGTTGATTTTGAACTAGGATAAGGAAGGAAGGAGACAATAGAGGATGATGGATCTTGGCATAGCGCGACGACATAACGCTTAGGATTGACGACGAACTGACGGCGGATCATGTGTAGGATGCGAGGACGAATGACATATCGACGACGCAAGCTCAGATTTCCATAAACGACGATTGACATACTAGGTAATGGCACCGCCATTTTGGCGAAGACAAAAGAGTGATGGCAAGCATCTATGCTTTACTGATCTCCTTGTGTGTGCGAACTAGGCACACGTTCGCTTGGCATGTACATGTTCAGTTCTGAAAGTAGTTGACGAGCCTCCGAATGTGAACGCTTTGGCTCAAGTGTCGTGGCTCAAGATCGACGTCTGCAGACGTGAAAAGCTGAAAAGTTGTCCCTTCTGGACCCTCACTAGCCCGCGCAGCTGGCTAGCCACTACCTGACTCTTCGAAGTGCACCAGGCCCTGGTCCACCTGTAAGTTCACTTATCTCGTCACCCACGTTCTGCATCGCAAGCTTGCTGCTTCTCATATATTCTCCATTCCCAGCTTCCGCCTGAAACTTTCGATGACGTCGTCGTCGTTCTGTGCACGTGCCATCACGTGCCATCTCTCCCGCGTCTTGGTATGAAAACTCCACTCCCTACCCTGCAAAGGGTATGAAGCGGAACAAGGCTGTTAACCTGTAGATCGGTGGCAGAACCTATGTATTTCCCCGGCTCCAGCCCAGATATCAAACGAATCATGAAATACGTTGCCCGCAAGTGAGAAAGTTGTACACCGAAAGCTCAGTGTGAGTGGAGTTGTAAAAGTATGTAAAAGTTATATGTTTCCGAACCTTGCACTCGGGTTCGGATAAGACTGCTTGCCTCCCCCGTATCCCTGGCGGAAAACGCCCCTTGTACGTCCACACTCTTAGGCAGCCAGGCACACACGCCATTCGGAAGAACACGACGAACTTCGTCCCGCAGCCCAGAAAGCAGGCAGTTGAAAACATGCACACTAAAGCGGCGACCCTGGGCGATGCCACAGCCCAGAACAAAGACCTGAGAAAGTAGTCCATGAAGATGGACACACTGTCTGTCCAAAGAAAAAACATCATCAATCAGTAACCAGTCGATGCCACAAACTCCGGCTTCTGAGCAGGCCAGTCTCATGTTGTTGAGCCTCGCAACGTCAAAGGCCCACTTCAAATCTAAGATTGCCAGGTACAGCGGCAGGCCCTGATAATCTCGAACTTGGGCCAACAACAGAATGGCGAGCAGCAGTAACTGAGTGCCAGAAACTCCTCCGACCTGGCAGGGCCCTGCTAGCGCCTCCATCTTGGCTAAACGTGTCCCTCAGCCTCCCTGCATATCGGGAGCCCTATGACCAGGGCCTGGTGCAGTCCGAAGAATCAGGTGCTGGCAAGCGAGGGTCCAGCAGGCCTAGAGGAAAAGAACGAGTTTTTTGGCTTTTCACGTCTGCAGGCCTGGATCTTGAGGCACTACACTGTTATTGACCTTGAGCATCCTTGAGCCAAAGCGTCCACGTTCGGAGGCTCGTCAACTACTTTCAGAACTGAACACGTACATGCCAAGCGAACGTGTGCCTAGCTCACACTCACAAGGAGATCAGCAAAGCAGAGATGCTTGCCATCACTCTTTTGTCTTCGCCAAAATGGCGGTGCCACTACCTAGTATGTCAGTCGTCGTCTATGGAAATCTGAGCTTGAGTCGTCGATATGTCACTCGTCCTCCCATCCTATTCATGATCCGTCATCAGTTCGTCGTCAATCCTACGTATTATGTCGTCGCGCTATGTTAAGATCCATCATCCTCTGTTGTCTCGTCCCTTCCTTATCCTAGCCAAGAATCAATGTTCCATAGTGGCCTGACAAGCTGAAAAGGTGTGCAGAACACTCACAAAGGCCTCTCACGGGGGCAAGCCTCCAACAAAACCTCTTGCCTTCATCGGCACACGTTGGACGTGTCTTCTGACGTATGAATGCCGGGACCGAACTGCAAGCCGCAAGCCCAGCTCCCTTAGCACAGTTCCGCTGGCCAAAGCTCCGAAAAGGCTATGCCGTTGCCCCGCGCGCCTTGCCGCATTCCGATTGCGGCCGGAGCGCGACCGCTTTCGGGTCTCGGCCGAGCGGCTCGGTGAGGGCCGCGAGCGGCTCAGGTCCCGGCCTGGGCGAGCTGGGCGACAAAGTCTCAGCACACGCAAGTAGGTTTTTTTTCGCTCGGGTTCGCGGGCTGATCCTTGGATCATTGCACTTGCACTGCCGCTCTTGCAGCAGGAGGCCAACATCGTGGCCAAGAAGCCAGCAGAATGCCCGTGGTGCTAGGGGGGAGCAGGCCAGGACGAGCTGATCATGCTTGAAGTCGGGTTGTTTCCTCCACTTTCCATGGCCTGCTCCTCGAGAAACATTCTTGCACTCAGAGCCCGAGGCCTCGTGCATGACCCGGAGGGTATCATGGATTTTTATGAACTGTCACAGCTCTGTGGGCTCTCACATAAATTCCACAATATTATACAACTGCACGTTTCCGCAGCTGATTTACGAATTCGCCGGGACAACGCGGTCACGGTGGCTCTTCCACCTCCTCCGCACTTCTGATCGGAACTTGCAGCCTTGAAGATAGTCTGGGCAGTTTTTAAGCCTGAAACCTGAAGCAAAAAGCCTCATCTTGATCGTCGGAGTTCCGGAATTGGATCTCGGTTTCGAACTGAGGACGAACAGTTGAGGGTGCAAGCTTCGGATTTTGGGCTATCCGCAAGACTTTTCGCTGTCATCCATAGCCTTAGGCCATTAGCTGCAATGGCTTCCTTGTTCAAGTTCAGCGTATTTTGGCTTTGGGTCTTTCCGACTGTTAAGGCTCTAACTTTGTCGTCCCATCTCCCGGCCGCGAGGCACTATCCCAGTCCAAGCTCCTCATGCATCCAGGCTCGAGGCGGGTTGATGTACGCACTCACATACAAGACGTCAGATAATCACTGCGAGTAGATGCCACCCGAGTACAGCCATTCAGTGCAGCCTAGCTCCTTGCCGCATTGTCTGCTTACGGGGCAACATGGAACAGGCTTCCACAAGTCTCTGCTATGGTATGTTGTGCGTGTGCGAAGTAACAGACACATCGACATGCTGCTACCGACTTGTCATGGGCAGTACCTAGGTCAATCCTGCCGTCAAACAACTGGTATGAGGCTGTAAGGTTTTGCCCAGCTTTGGATACGGATCCGTGGCTACTTGCTGGTTCAGGACTGGATGCGTCTCGCTTAAACCAATTTGGCACACGGAAATGTTGATGGCATCAGGAAAGCTCCTTGTGAACCTCTGCGCCATTTCGGCATTCCCGTCTAAAACTGGTGCAGCATGGTGCAGCTATGTTGTACAGAGAGGCCCCACACGTCATGATGGCAATTTTCACATGAATGAATTCGTGAAGGAAGAGACTTAACTTCAACTGCCTGATAGCATAGGCACGTCGGCGAACGATCGCGCGCAACTGTGGGCATGGAAACTGTGCCGCACACGGGCTCGTTTTTGTACGGCTGTGTTGTGAGATTGCGTTGTTTTTGCCTGTCTGTCTGCATGGAGCTATGTGTGCACGCAAATGCAGTGTACGTATTGTATTGTATTGTATTGTATTGTATTGTATTGTAATTCCTGCACTGTATTGACCTGGACTGCACTGGACTTGTCTTATCTTGCCTTGTATTCTGTGTATGTGTGCAAGGACTTCGTGTGTACATGAATATATAAATAAAGTAAGCATGCATGTAAGTAGTTGTGCGTGCATGGGGCTGCGTTGGGAGCTGGTAGGTAGCTATGAATGCTTGCATAATAGGTGCACACGTGTACGTATCTGTGTACATGTGCCGAGGGGTAACCTCTCTGGCTAAAACATTCTCTCCGAGGAATTTGAAGGTGCCGGAGTTTGACACCGAAGGATCTAAACCAGTCTAGATCTGTGATCTGTGGGCTGACAAACCCAAGCCTGTCGCAGCATCCTGATATGTCCCTAATCGCCAACCGCCAAGCCAAGCTTCGTCACGCTATGCAAGTTCATATCACCCCGGAATCCGCTTCCACTACGTGGTCGAAAGCTGGCAACGCTTTGTCAGACGTCTCAAGCTCGTGTTTCGGGGTCTCACTCCCTTCCTAGCTTTGTATCTTCGGCATCCTCGGAAACACAAGTCACAAGACTGCATGCGCGTTCAGAGGACACCAGAAAGAGCGCCTGCAGGTGCCTCAGAAAGCACACACAGAGGAAAACTGACTGTAAATCCTGAGTCACGCGAAGCTCAAGACTTGCGGGTGTTTCAGCCGAGCAAGACTCTACAGCCGGCATTAAGGGTTCGAGGTCCATGCTTCGTGTTGTATGATGTATGTGAAGGGTAGGTCCGGCAGGTTTAAACGGCTAAGCTACACGTTGCAAGGCTCGGCAGGTTTGTTGAGCGCTCTTTCCTGGCCTCCCCAGCCCGCCACACTGGGGAAACGCTGAGTTGCGAGTGAGCTATATGGAGTGTGCCGCCTATGCACCGGCTTGGGATGCCTTGAGAATTGCTTGGAACTTCTGCTGAACTCATGCCCACGTTCGGACTTGCAAAGACTCGCTGAGCTCGCCACTCGGCGCTGTTTCCGCCTTCGGCGCACCTCCAGAGCATCATGCTAAACACGAGAAAACTGTAACGCAAGGGCTTCACGGGTGTCGAGGTCAGGCTGATGGTAAGTATTGTGGACAACATGCTTCTTCGACAAATCCAGTTCTCTTCCATCTGCGTCCGAAGCCGTGAAAGTCTGTGACAACGGCTGACTTCCGCGAAGTCTCGAAGGCTTTATCTACGATGCTGGCGACACAGGTGAGGAGATGGCACACTCTGCAATAGTTCTCTCGGGGACGACGAACCACATCGGTCCGAAAAGGAATACTGCGAAAGCAGAGGATAAAACAAGGGACCGAGGCTGTTGGCAGAAACTGCGTTCGATTGGCCTCGAACATGACACATAACCCCAGCGACTGTTGAACGAAAGTCCAGGATCAAATCCCTACTGTGTAAGCCAGTGCTGTCTTCGGAGCCAAGGGCCTTGACATTTTTTTGAATGATGTGGAGACAAGCACCGATTGCTGTCTACAGGCAACCCTGAAGCTTTGCTGCACCTGGGAATTCCCTGAAGTTCTCCGTGGCGAACTTCAAGTGTTCTTTATCAGCATTTCTAGTCGGGGGGTGGAGATTTGGGTTCAGTGCCCGGCACCTCGCCCGGCGGGCATAGGTGGCAGTGGAGGCAACTCTGTCCCCGTGCGCAGCCCTGGCTCTTCCAGAACCTAAGGCGAAGTGGAACTGGAGCTTTGGCGTCGGAGGAGTTGGCAATAAAGTTGTTGTGAGCTTAGGTTCGGGAGCGCCCCGGCCCCTTCTTGAGACGAGCTGCCACATACATGGCTTGCATTGGCCGCTGGAGTGAAGGAGGGCACCCAGAGAGGGCTCCACCCGTCTTTGCATCTCGCAGTCGGTGTCGCTCTGTGATCCGCTCTGTGACCCTGAGAGGCTCGGGGATTCCAGGCCGGGCGGTGGCTGGAGCCGGGAACCTTTGGGGGCTTTGCGCCGCTTGCGATCCTTGACCTCTGTTTCAGGACAAAGGTGGCAGTGCAGGCAGTCCGCCCCATTCTTACATCCTTGGAGCTTCCAAAACCAGGCACACGGCTTGCAAAGCCCTGTCCCGTGCTGCACCGAGCCCTTGGAAGGCAGAGTCTCCAGGAAGCCTGGCTCCTCGTCACTGGACCCGTTAAGGCTCTCTCCGGCAAGAGCATAGTCATAGCCTCGGCTGACCCGCAGAGTCTCACCCAAACCGGGGAAGCCTGAAACGCTCCATCCTAAGCACATTTGCTCACCGATCGGCCCTGGTAGCTTCGGCTGTAAGCTGCATGAGCCTCATCAGCTGGCAGCCGCTCCTCAATCAGGTCAGCGATCCGGATCTGCATAGGAGCCAGGAGGCAGTCGGCGGAGAAGGTCATGGCCCTCAGGATTCGATGCGCTGGAAGGTTAGGTCGAAGTCAAATCTCTCATGACCATTTCCCAACTCCCCAACTCACCAAGGATGATCCAAAGACTAAGACTAGGCCCGTGATAGTGATGGGGAAAGAGCAGAGTGCAGCGGCAAATTGATTTCGGCCAGGTCGCGCAACAGGGCCGAGCAGGCTTGTCTAAGGCTTGTCGAGTGTCGTTTGGGCCACAAAAGCGCTGAAGCGCACACGAGGCCGGCCAGATGTCTCCCACTCATGTCCAAAAAAGGCAGAACTCTTCTGCACAACCTGACAGCGACGGACACATGCGAGAACAGACACGCGTTGAAGGTCGATTAGGCAAGCAAAAAGCAACGGAACGTACCCCGAAACACAAGCTACGGATTTTGTTGAAATGTTGCCGAAACCGGTGTCTGATACTCGCTCACTCAAGAAACTCAAACATTGAAACTCCGCTTGCATCCCAAAGCGACACAACAGGAAGTAAAGCGATAAAGCATGGCAAAAACAAGAACTTAAAGTTGGAATGACCCCTGGAGGTGGGCAAAAAACGTCAACGCAAAGCAAACTGGAAAGGTAGTTTGTGTCTCACGTTTGGGGCTTCAGAATGACCAATGTTGTTTTCGGACACCTGGCTCTTTTCACGATTAACCTACACACATCTTACACACATCCGTCTTTGGTCGTGCTGTCGAGGTCTCTGGGCGCAGAGCCCACGCTGAAAGTCCTGCCATGGCGCTGAAGTTCGGCTTCGAGCAGACAGTAACTAAATGAAACGACGAGCGTATTTTCCAGCAACGGCGGGACGATAAGCTGTCCTGCTGCTGGCACAGCTTCTCTCCCGGACGCAGGCATCGGAGTACCTGCAACCAGAAGAAACCCTGAAGCCGTGAACCCCAAAATACCCCATCCCAAATCACCTGGAAAAGAGGGGTTGGAGCTGGATGGGGTTGGTACAAGCACGAATCCCGACGCAACAAGACTTGCAAAGGCCCGATAAGGTTTCGAACACTGCACTAATGCAGATTGCGAACGAGCTGCAGGGCCACGGTGGTCACGGTTTGCGACACGCTCTCTGTCGTGGCAAGCTTGGAGTTTGGAATCACGACGGTGCCTTACAACATCTTCGTATGTGGCAACGTGGTGATGATGGCGGTGGATGAGCCTTGGTACAACTTCTATGTAACCGTCCGGTCGGGCGGTTACCATTTGAAACACATCATCGGGAATGCCTTCGACACCGAAGCCTTCGCCCACATGGCACGACGGCAAGGGTGCTAAGTCTTCCGGGATGGACCGGTGGATTCTGTTCTACTAGGGATGGCTGATTGCTGGCGTGCATGTCTGTTGCCTAACATGGCTTGTGCATACCTCTTTCCACGTTCATGTCGGCTAAATTTCCTGTTGCACGTGCCCGAATCGTTGTTTTGTACACGTCGTCACTGCATGGATCGTGTGACACATGTTTGAGGGTCCCGGCAGCTATGGCTTATCTTATTATGGTATACTCCCGACCACGCCCGATGTGACTCAGCCAACTTTCAGTTACAATCGATACAATTGGCTTCTCCTGTGTGGCATTCTGGTTTCATGCGTAAAGTGCATATCCAGAATACCTTTGAAGGGAAGATTGCTGTTTCCTTCGGGCGGGGGTTGAGTTCTCAGCGTTTCTTGCATTGTGTTTTGGCTGGATGGCCTCACAGGAACACCAGCCGTTTGCATGTGAATTCAAGAATTTAGGGCAAAATTTAGGGTTAGGCGAGCGGGCCGTGATTTACAGCAACGGTGGCGAGAGTGTGCAAGATAATGCATGAACTCAAGCTCTGAGCATGTGTGCAGAAATCCTATCCCACAGGGCACTCATCCTCGCTGTAGAAGTCGCTGAACGCATCACTGGAGCAGTCGTCGTGCGACCGCACCTGTGCAGACCGCAAGAGCTTGTGCAGAAGTGCTACATGTGCCAAGGCTGGCAAGACCTTCATCCAGCACAAAGTTGCACTGGTGCTGACTTGAAGCTGGAAAAAGACTGGATTGCCTGCCGAGGGAGTGTCGAGACGGGAGGCCTCCTCGGTCCTGAACCCGAGCCTGGCCTTCGCTCTTCTCGTAGGGCGCCGGCAAGCGGGCGGCATTGCGGGCGGTTACTTCCTACACTCACAGGGTACTTTGTTGCTACTTCCTACGCTCTGGACTCTGGAAATGGCCATTGAGATCAGAAAAGTCAGGGCCACAAGCGGGACGCGTTTCGGGTTTAGGCTAGGGGTTTCTGCGCAGCAGGATGACATGCCTTTAGCCAAAGGGCTAGCGGTGGATACAAACAGGCGTGCACAACCTCCCACAGCTCAGGCCTTATGCTCTCGCCACTCGACAAGTCATGACCATGATAGCTGCAGGCACAGACTGGACTGAACTCAAAGCGGCAGCTCGAGGCAGCTTGAAAGGCAAATGCTTCAGGCACCTGGTCGTCGGCTCTGTCGCCTGGATGAAGTCTTGCTACTTGGGGCCTAGCTACGATGTTCTTGTTGAGCTCGCGCTGTCGTCTAGGAACCTGTTCAGGTTCGGTTGTGGTGCATCTCCGAACAAGGAACATGCCAAGTCCAGCCGAAGACTTCAGACCGCATCGGGATGAGCCCTGGAGGAGGAGCAAGCTGGCGCGGACAAACCCAGACAAACCCGACCGTGCAAGTTAAGTCTCACATGATCTACGGCGCAACAACCAGGACCACGTATTCACGATCAAATCAGCCGAAATCTCCATTCGGGCAGCTCCTCATTCCAGGATATGCACCATAACATCCCCAAATCTGCCAACCCAGGATAACCCAGGTGCATCCGTTCCTAAACTTGCCACGAGGCTCGCGCGGCTAGAACCGCAGCAACCTGCGCCAATCGGCTTGGCGCCTTTGTGGTGAGCATTCACGTAGGAGGATTTGCACCGGAGGGTGTTTTGGGAAATCCTATGTCTCGACCGCAAAACTCCAGCGTTGAAAAGCAGTTGAGCTCCAATCATGATGAAAAGCACTGGAAAGTGCGAGCAACCTCTAGAGCCTGCGACCTCACCGAACCGAGCCCCTGATGTCCTTCTTCCCGAGCATGTATTGATATTGAACACATCTTTGCGAGGGTTGTGAATGCCATCAAGAATTATGAAAGTACATGTTTGCATATGTTTGCATCTAGAACCGGAGATGTTCTCCCAGCTTATTGGCTGCTCGCAGGATCTCTCAGGCCCAAGCCGAGTCCAGCTCGTCCTCCTCCCTCAGATCCAGCAGAAGGCGATCTGAAGGAGGACCTGTCTCTCAAGGACAAGGATTAGAAGGTGTCAAAACTGCTAGGACTGCCGCTCCAAGCTTTTCGCACTGCCTATTTCTGCAGTGAACCTGAGACTCCCCTAGCCCATGAAATGCGCGAGGAGTGCCGCCGATGCTGAGCTCGCCCAGGCTATGATCGACCGCCTTCCCGCTGGTATGGGCTCAAGGGCTTGGGTTACCGGCAGTTTCGGACTTGGAGAAGTAGAGAGAGGAGTTGGGTTCTTAGCCTGTTTGAAGCCGGCGCGTACATGTGGCCGAAAAGAAAATCTAAGCCCTCAGCTTAGCCGGCCCACGGAGCAGTAATGGCAGCACTTCTAGTATGGAGCGACGGGTCGTCTGAGCCCGAAGGTATCAACCGCTTTAAACCCTGCACAGTGTCCTGAATTTCGAAGGCATGATTGCCAACACGGAAGATGAACGATATGGGAATTCCGCCGCATGGACACCCGCCCGCTTTGCCGTCAAAAGCAAAGATGTCTTTAGGTCCGGGGCCGAAGCCGACTGTCCGGCGTGATGATTTGTGCTCCACATGATGATTCTGCAAGAAGCTCGTCTCTTAAAATTCTGAATGAAAATGTGAGGAGCTGCATCGACCTGATATCTTGCATGCCGCCTTCTCCCTGATAACAGTGGAGCCTCGTGCGACCTCCTGCGCAACACTGCTTCCAGAACTGCAAGGAGCAAGAAAGCTGGCCTTCTCCCAGTATTGCAAAAACCTCTGGGTGCGAGAATTAATTCCAATTTTTGCGCCTGTTTTTGATGTTCAATTTCTGTTTCCCAGAGCAGCTCCAACTTTGGCCAAGTGAATTGTCCTTTAAAAACACGCTATTCCCGCAGTCCCAAGCTAGCCGTGTTCAGAGGAAAAAAGACTTCATTGAAAAGGTTGGCATTTTGGCTTCAGAGTTGCATGGTGGCACGTACCCCTCTCAGCCAGAGCAACGGAGCGGGGGGAGATGTAAAGGCTAAGACTGTTGTTGTTGTGGTTGAAATTGTGATTGTCCTTCTTTTCCTTGTGCTGGTGGTGGTAGCGGCAGTAGTACTAGTAGTAGGTGGCGCATGCCACCAGCGCCTGAGTACGGATGGCACTTTTTGGTTTTGACATTGCTAGGGACGGTACTTGAGGGTTATGGGCGGGGGTGGGGGGGGGGGGGGCTAATTACGTGCGGTGCCGCGCGGTGCGTTGCCGCAAAGCACCCATGTCCGAACCGTGATAACGTCCTGTTCCAACAAACTGTTCTCAGACGTCGATCTCGCCGAGACGGAGGAAGTCTGTCGTAGCGACTTCGTGTCTTTTTTCTCCCGAACAAGACTGCTTTGTGCAAAAGCGCAAAACACCACCAATACCAGAACCGCCGTTTTCTGCTATTCGGACACATCGGAAAGCACAAAATGCTGTAAATAATGGCATTCGGAGGAATGCCCCAATCTCCGGGAAAGCACAGACCACCAAAATTAGCTCTCACACAAGTAGTTGGGACAACGTTCTCCTCCTGCTTCTGACAACGGAAACTGTAAATACCACATGTTTTGGTTGC